CGGATGAAATTTTTCTCTCTTCTGGAATATCGTTTGTAAATAAAACTAACAGCATCATATGTAGCATTAAATTCTCCATCGAATGATGTATAATTTATGCACTGCCGATATTCTGGAGAGAAAGTTGGAGTTGAAATACTGGAAGTGAACATTTTCTTGGCTGGGGGTCCAATTTTCGGACGAAATGTTTCTCTCTTCTGGAATATCACCCGTTTATGAAACTAACATGAATTAATGTAGAATTACGTTGTGCATTGAATTATTTAGAGTTGTTGGATCTTTATAGTAAATATAACAATCGGATGTTGTTGAGTCTTGGTGATATTGTAATGTGAGGAATAATCATTTGTTTCAACTTGTAAATGATTAAGCTGTTGCAAATTGATGATTTATCATATTTGAAGATTGACAATTTGTTACATGTTTGTTCTGATTAGAGAAAGAGTGTTCTCTTAATTAGAAAATGGAGTCGTCCATGTGAATGTATTTTTTTTCTTTATGTCGACTGTGTTTTATAAACTGACATCATTGTCTCGTGGGCACATCGTTCAGTGGTTATTTGTTATTCATTCGGAAATAATTGAAAACAACAATATTTCATTATGGCAACATCGAAGAGAAAGAGAGTGTGTTCCAGCACTGAAGAACAACAGCAAGAGGAACCGAATACGCAACGTTTCCTTAATTGGTTATCCGCTGCTGAAGCAAATGCATGGAAGAAAGAGATTAGTGCAGCAAATAGATGTGTTCGGTTAATCAATCATCGTCATCTTCCTTCAACGCTCAGTGTCGATCAACTTAAATCATTAACAAGCGACACTCCTTTCGACGGTGAGAAAGCTTTTCATGGTTTCAAAATTTTTAATGTGTTTGGTAATTTAGGAGCTTTTTTTGAAAATTGGATGGAATGCTTAATTAGTGAATGGCATCTGAACAATCGTCCAAGTCGTTATCCAGACGTGGCGATCACGTCAATTGGTTCATCTTGGCCGTCAGTCGCCAAACAGTTCTCCGACTTCTCCACATCACATCACATCCACCACCTGACCATATCTGCCCATCATATATCTTTGCGATCGAAACTGAAATCTCTACCACTTCTGACAAACCAAAAAGGCGGCGAACAAGGTTTGTTTGAATCTCGAATATGACTTTTTCATAATCAGTTTCCGTTATTTATAGCTTCGCATTTATGTGATACAATTGGTTGTATATCGGAAGATCATCTATTAGTTGAAACAAGAGAAGTCAACCATTCAAGGCAACGATGCTTCGGAGTCATCCTTCAAATCCATCGAAACAGTTTAGGCATCGACCGTGTAATTCAAATCAAGCCCTGTTGTCATGGAAGAGCGCCAACAAGAAATCTTAAAGAACAACTCAACTACAGCTGCCGCAAGATCCATGCTATCATCACCGAGGACAAACATGTTGTGTTTTATAAGTAGTTGTATCTTTTTTTGTTTTTTCTTAATAAACCAGTACTACTTCGTTCTCACATGTGACAATGTTCTCTGCAGATTCACAAAAAAGTAAAAACATTTTGTCAAACAAGCGACCCTGAAACTATTAGTACGGTTCTCTTCGACACAAATAAAAAATGAACACTCCTCGGGCCTTTCTATACTTAGAATATCCCAGTGAAAAATATTTATGAAAAAAAACGGCAAAGAACGCGTTCCACTTTCGTAGAAAACTTTTTTAAGAAAAAAAAACGCTTTCTATAAAAGTAGAATGCGTTCCAAAATGGAACGGTCAAGAATGCGGTCTCACCCTTAAGAAACGTTTTCTTTTCTTAGAAAAAGGACTTTCACGTTCTCGAAACGTGTTCTTGGCCGTTACAGTTTAAAATGATGAAAAACGCGCTCCTAGATGAGCTTTTCCTATGAGAATCCCCGAGAAGTTCCAAATAATTGATAAAACCTCCAGCCCACTCAGACAAACAACGAAAAAAACGCGTCAAAATTTTAACGAAAAAAAATTGTAAAAACCCCACCTTTTTTGGATTTTTTTCGTTAAGGTTTATTAACGCGGTTAATTTCGTTAAAAAATTAACGCATTCATAACGCGTTAAAATGTGCGCTTTTTACGATTTTATTTTCGTTCAATATATTTAACGCGTTTTTACGCATTTGATGTTTGAAGTTAGAATATTCTTAGAGTGAACAATAATATTCCATAAAGCTGGCCTATTTGAGGGATAGTTTCGATGCGTCCTGAGGAATTCTAATTGTTTTTCTACCATAGAGCAATGAGTTCCTAGTTGATTCTAGTCTACCGAAATCTATATAAAATTTAAAGCATAAAATCCCGTAGATCAAAATGAACTAAGAAATCATTGTTATATGGTGGGAAAACAATTAGAATTCCTCAGGAGGCATCGAAACTATCCTCAAGTAGGTCAGTTTCATGGAATATTATTGTTCACTCTAGGGATATTCTCAATTCAAAAATCGAACGCTTTTTGATATACCAACATTTGTGACAAAAATTATTCTACTTTTAAACATCTCATCTGAAGACTACACATTCAGTGAAAATAAAGTAAATATTATTTCATCAGTTTCGAGATCATCTTCAATTTCTTTTTTTGTTTTATTCGAAGATATAAAATTGGGCAGATATAGAAGGCGTATATTTAAGGATATCATCTAGACTATGATTTAACATTTATTGTACTTAATTGATATCAGTATTAAGAAAGTGCATTATTCAAAAACATGTTAAAATATGTTTATCAAGTATATTGTCCCCTCTTGTTTTTAGTTAAGGTTGGGGAAAATACTACTCGCTACGAATCGTTTTTATCATTCTCCTGTTTTGAAATATAATTCTAAACTTGGTGTCACCATCGATTTCTACATGATTAAGATAAAAATTTAACGAAAAACGGTAAAAGTTAGTTTTATAAACATGAAACATGTTGTCTAATAATGCACTTTCTTATTAATGATGCCACTTGAGTATAATAAATTTTAGATGATAACTAAGATGTTATTCTGAAACGTGCATCTTCTGTCTGTTTCACTTTGCATATTCGAAACATTAAAAATTCAAAATAAATTCTCAACTGATAAAATACTGCTTATATACTCAAAATGTACTAGTTATATCTAACTGTTGCTATTTGCTTATTCGTTTCTGTTAAGCCAATAGGAAAATCTAAAAAAAAAATTGATAAACAGTCTTAAGCGCGAATCGCTTGTCGGTTACTGACAAGCATAAAAGGTGATCATATACTAGCTTATTTGATGCTAAGAGTAGTCTCTTTTCTTTCATCTTTTTTTCTCAATAGTCTCACTAACACATGCTAATAAGACGATTGAGAAAGATACAAAAAAAACACGAGACGGCCCTTAACAGCACATAAGCTCGTGCATGACTACCTTTTGTGCATGTGCGCAGTCGATAAGTCATTCATGAATAAGGTTCATTTTATTTTGCTCTACACAAAAAACAGAAAGACTAATTGCAAATATTATTGTTAACGTTTGATTCTGAACGCATAACTGTTTTACCTATGACATAGAAAAATATTTGATGAATGCATTAAAAATTTTAGGCCTCATTCATATTAAGACTTTCATTTCGAATTGTCAATCTATCAACTACATCAACTGTTAACTGATTATACGAAGAAAAAACTCAATAAGTTGTTTTAAAAAGTATATAATACGATAGGCATCAGTAGAAATGAAAAACTTAAAAGAAAAAAAATAATTGTTACTATGAGGAAAATAGAAAAATCAAACTATTGTACTAAGAATAGATAAATGATAAGTAATACTTAAAGATCTATAAGAAACTTGACAGAAATTATGCAAAGACGAAAAAAATAGAACTAATAAGAACTATACAGAAAAAACGAACATGTGTAAATTTTAACTTACTCATCAACGGTTCGATCATAAAAACTATCTTCTGCCCACTTAAAATATTTTCTGGCGATGTTGTGATGTGATGACAATAGTGTAGATAGAATGGATGAGTACAGAGGATGAAATGGTTATTTCCTAGTGTCAAATGTTCAAAAGTTGATTAAATGCAGCCGATAATGGAATAGGTGGATAGATTAGCTTTGATCTATTCTGTTTAGTTGAATAAACTACTACATATCAAAATAATGAATACTCATGTCGTACTTTTATTCGCTCTATCGCCGATACTCCGCAGCTCTCATGAGTATCGGCGGCAGCACTTACGACTTTGGGCTCAAGCTATAACCGACTTTAGAGAGTGTTTTCTACCCAAATTCGAACTATTCATTATAAAGAATTGAAATTAATCGAGAAGAAACTAGGGTGTGGGTGTGGGTGTGGGTGGGTGTGGATGGGTGTGGATGTGGGTGTGGGTGGGTGTGGGTGGGTGTGGGTGTGGGTGTGGATATGGATGAAAATAACATGAACCCACACCCACCTCGACACCCACACCCACCCACCCACACCCTAATCTAATAAAAATAAAATCCTACTCGTTGAATATTGTCACGACCTTCAAAATAAACATTTTGATTTTATCAGAAAGTGATCTGAACATCTTCCATGTTTAAACACATAACTTCTTTAACATCTAGCTATTGATCATTATCCCCTTTTCCATTCTTGTCATTATCAGCTATTAATATTGAACAATACGCAAAAAATAACACTTTTACCGTTGTACACTGTTTTTTGTAGTTTTGATCAGTTAATTAGAAAGCGACAATCTGAAAATAGTCGATGAACGGAAAAACCAGAGAATTTCTTACATTTTGTTTACGTTTTTCAACTTATGAACATTTGTTCACCGTTCTTACATCGTTTGACGAGATTAACAATTCTAATAGATGTTTAATTCTTTCCAATTCAGAGTCTTTCAAACTTCCAGTGTAAGAAGTTATTGGAATTGCATTTCCATAGTTTCTCTGATACGTTGTAGGAGTATCATCGACTATCAAAGTGTTGCATCGATTATACGTATTAATTGAATTAGGATTTTGAGATTCACTTTTTCTTCTCCATATTTTCCTCAAGCTTTTAATTATCACAGGTATTCCGTATATGTCTAACGAGCGCTGTTGATATCTTCTTGTACATCTCATCGATGTCCAAATAAACTTTATTTTTGATCGCAAGTGATCTGGAATAATGTAGGTTAGTACAGAATGAACATATTCTGAACCCGACGCTGACCATATGCCAATATCATAATGTTCAAAACACCATTCAAGAAATTCGTCAATACCCGGTCGTTTCCATACTAAAATCGAGCCATCATCTAACTCAAAATGATGCTGTTGTTCAACTTGCATATCGATGACGTTTGCTTTTTCTTCCGCAAAGATCATTGTACCATCAATATCAAGTATGAGTAATTTTCTTTGATAGAGTACCATGATTTTATTTTCTTCTATTATCTATAACAAACAAATGAACTTCAAAGCAATCACAAAACTATGTAAATATATCATTTAATATTAATGTTCAGACTTTATTCCATCTACACCTTCGCTTCAAATAACTGAAGTTTAAACTTATTAAGAAGTATATTTATCTTAATCATTCTAGCTTTTTGTTACTATTTGTCAGAGTCGGACTCTGGTTGAATCACAGTTACTTGGCTCATATCGAATTTACATAGAACAAACAACGATTCCAGATGAGAAAATGATATCTTTCTTTGGAATGTTAAGAGTATTCGATTAGCCGAACTCTGTTATCTGAAGTAGTAAAAACCTATGATTCATAACACAATGTTACGATCCGTTTCTAATTTCTTTCGAGATACATAGATGATCGTATCACCATATGTTTACTGACAACCAAAAAAAAAATAGACAATACTATATATATTTACACTATTATCGTTACATTATCTTCAAAAAGTGAGCCTGATGTAATATCGTGATGTCATTATTCAATTTCATCACATTACATCATCTGAAAACCGTTCAGCATCATTGGCTAAGATTGAAGCAATAGTGATGCACTATTGTAGTGACATCTTCAAAAGTTATAAACACCATTATTGATTAAATTCTTGAATTACAAGTCACAGTTGTGGGACTTTTGTTTTTGACATAAGAAGATAACAACTGCTCAGCATTATCTTATCATTTCTTGTGCTATTTGCTATTGCTGTTTCCTTTTGCCGAGTATTTTTCAGCCGAAAGTTATGAGAAGAACTGCTCTGATGTTGTCCTAGATTCTGTGAGAATTTCAAGTTGATTTGTTTTAGTCTCTTTGATATTTGACTTGAAAAGTTGTTTCATTCGACACCGTTCGTAACTATTGTACGAACACATTCTGCACACAATTTAATGAATCTTTAGAATGTATCTTTCGTAGATAGGTTTGCATTAGAGCTACATAACGATTGATTTTCCAGTTCTTGAGTTATGAGGCTTGCAACACTATATGAGTTACTGTACGTTACAACTCCTAAACAACTTAACCTCTATAGGTCGGATTTGTGTCGATGATCCACATATTTCATGGTATACATGTGCATAAATTTTCAGTTTTATGTGTCTTATATTGCCTGAGATATAAGACCAATACTTTTGCTCAACGAATGTGTTCCAAAACTTTTTGTCAGGCCTGTATAATATTATTAAATTAGATAATTCAGATACGTCAAAGATTTATTATTTTCCGAGAGGTACCAACAATTCAAATTTCAAATTCATTTCTTTTACTATCATTTGCTACACAGTAAAGAGAAAAGCGTAGAACAACAAACTTTCGCATTCGTTTATATACACGTCTCCAAGTCTCCTCCTACCGTTCATCTACCCTTCTTATCATTTACCCACGAAAAGTATGTATCAAATTGCAGCCTTATATATCCTTCGTATAAAGATTTTATTATACTCTTTTCGAAGAATTCTTTCAAAAACACATAGTTCATCACTAATGTCTATCCTACGGATGTTCGAAAATGAAAACACTTTCTTAATGTATAATTTCTATTGCTAGATCAAGAAATAACTGTTAAAATAATTAAGAAATCGAACGTATATCTTATAATGCATTTTACTTATAAATAACATGTAGCCGCCTATCAAACAGCACAACCTCAAGCGAATGAAAGATGAGATCGAATTAGAGATTATTAAAGTCGTTTTTAATTAAAAAGAAGAATCTAATAAGCTAATTCACATTAGAGAATGGTTTCGAGGTACTATGATGTCATTAATTCATTTGGATCTCATTTGCTGATTATCTTCAAAATGACGTGCACTGTTATTCAAACCAAAACAAAAAACAAAATCTTTGATATTTTCTTCCATCAATGTTACGAGATTTGAAGAATAAAGTTTTTCATCATTAATAAACATTGAAATAATTCTTTTCGAAATGTTGATAATCCGATTGTATATAAAAGAAATCAAAATGGAATTTGAAAGAAAAACAAAAACTGATCGAAATAGTTCTTCACCAACATATATGTATGAACTAAATAAAGACTTAAATCACTGATAAGATCATTGATTGCTCGTTCTTCCGCAATTTTTATTTAAGTACTTGTTAAATATAAATACAATGGATAAATACATGAGATACATGTTAGAATTTAAAAAATCAAACTTTAAATCAGACTTAAACATATAAATTGCATATTTCGTGGACGTCTTTCTCGACAGAAAGGTCAATGATTATTTGTTAATGTCATTGGATGCAATTGATTTCATTCACGAAAATTTTTCAACACTAAAATTGATAAAAGCATCATGATTGAAAACGGTGCTATTCTAATAAATATGGTATGAATTGTATAAAATAATTGATAAGAACCACCGACTACTGCTAGGTATATCTGTTATGTCACTACTTTATTTTGAAAAGATAGAATAACTGCGTGCTCACCTCTCTCAAAAAAAAGCTAGGAAGTACGTATATATAGTGGAAGAAGAATTGGACTAGTCAGGAAAGAAGTCGACAGACTTCTTTGTCTGATTGAAAAATGAACAATAGGAAGAGTTACAAAAAAAAGGTGTCAGTAAAGAAGGATAGGTCAGACGGGTAGGAACGTATATGTAACAATTGAAAAGAAAAGAAGTGAAACACTATGTAACAGTAAACAAAGGAAAAATGATAAAAGAAGCTCAGAATAACATAGATCACAGGTACCGAAGAGAGAAGAGAATATCATACACTAAACGAGTGATCGATCGTGTGATATATGGTAAGCCAAATGGCCAATACATAACAATATCCACAATTTAATTTACTGTCAAATCCAATTGGATCATGAATGGAAAATATCATCCAAAATATCATACTAATTATTATAAACCAACGAGCATGCCGAGGAGAATATTTCTTTTGAATCCGTACTGATCGAAATATTTTCATCAAACGATCTAATGATATGAAACATAGAAAATATAGTGATAATGCCAGAAAATATAAATCCATAAGCATGAAATTTACATAGTGATTGATTTGTTGCGGCTAAATCATAACTATTAGTCCATTCGACGATTATGATTTGGTACAAACAATTATAAAATAGAAAACCGATTTGAGAAAATGATAAACAAATCAAATACCATGATATCACATTAGCACGAAGTTGAACACCAGAAAATACCAAAATAACAAGAATATGATCGGTAAATAATAACTTGAAATGAAAGTTCGAATTTGTTTGATTAGATTAATCATATGTGAACTAGACATCTCTATTTAGAATAGAGGAATCTACAAAAAATAGTATATGAATGTCGTCGAATCGCCAGAAAGTGGCGCATAAATAGAAAAGACTCTAATATGTTATCAATGCATAACTTGACTCTGTAAACTTTTACAATGAAGAATGAGAGTCATTTGATATCTGACGAAAATCTTTTGTTTAATTAAATACGTATGTTAACGTCACATTCTATTTAGCTTTTGATCCGGTATAATTTAACTGAGATCACTTAAAGAATTTATTATGTTAACAAGAGATATCGTTTTTTTTCTATATAATATTGCATTTTATGAGATAAACGTCGAAAATGACGTTTGGATCTCACAAAAGGCATACAAAGATTGCTGAGAACGCATCTGCTTCAAACCGTCTTCTTTAACTGAAATTAATAATGCAAAACTAAAGAAGGCTCTTTCCTTAATTCTGCATAAAAACCTGCAAGACTAAAACATATCGAAATATCTTCACTATCACAAATTCTATCACGAATAAAGAGACTTTGGTTTTGAATGCGATGACAAAACTGTTCATTCCCTTACTCCATCACAGAGAGACCATACGGGAGGTACATTTCGTATTTGTTGTCTACATTACAAAAAGAATACAAGTTTCATCAATGGCATCAAGGCAATCAGTTTTATTATCATTGATTCAATTAGCAGAGGAACATACACTATGACTTATCTTCGCTAGTTGAACAACTTTTCAAATCAAATACCAAACAGATTACAGCAAACCAATTTAAAATTCTTACAGAATATGGCGCAACAACAGAGTAGTTTTTTTTCATGATTTATAAGAAAAAATAATGCTTGATAAAAGAAAAAAGCGATACGAAACAGTACAACAAATTGTAAGTTATTGCTGAGTAACTTTTGTTCTTGTTGTCGTTTTATGTCCAAAACAAAAGTTCCACCATTGTGACTTGTAATTCAAGAATTTAATCAATAATGAGTGTGCCAAGACTGTAGGTTTCGAATAATTGGTATATGTCTCTGTAAATAACCACAAGAACAATACAATTATTTTATGGTGACATCAGTTTTTTTCTAGTTGTTTTTCGTAATAAAAATAATCTTATCCTAAACTTTTTCCAATGTGAATAATGATAATATTGAAGCATTTATTATTTTGCAACAAACATATATAAAGCAAGGACATTGAACATATCAATCTAGACACAAAAAGCATATTTTTTACCATTCCAAAGCGTCTCAAATTTCGGTGAACGTAGTCTATCCGAAATAATAATCCTGGTGCTACCATAAAATATATTGCTCGACTTAACTTAACAAATAGCTCTAAAAATTGAAGCCACAACAATGCAGATATCTATCAAAGTTTATTTAGATCACGGTTGTGCCTACTGTTGAACATTCGTCACGGCACTTTTCCTTGGCTCTTGATATGCAGTAGAAAATGTCACTCTTGACTTGACTTTACGTCCATGTTCAGTCACAGTTCGAAGTGAAACATCGTTGGTCATGGGTAAGACTCGTGTAGTATTGCTTACAATTGGATGATGAAAAGCAGAGCATAGCATATTGGCTAGTTCACGACGAAATATGTTCGAGGATATAGTATACAAATAAAATGAAGAAGCAGGAAAAAGAAAATTGATCAATTCGGCCAAATAGAAAGAAAATCGTTCGATTGCTATACGATCAGCTGATTTATTTGATACATAGATTGTCAAGGCATTGTAAAAATACATGCCCATTAGAGGTGTTGTAGTTCCAACATAGCATATTGCTTGAATGAGCAACATTAGTAGAACTTGTTGATCACGTCTACTTTGCAATCTTTGTTTTTCATTTGGTCCTGATCTTTCTTGCGAACCATTCATTAGTTGACGTTGTTTTTGTTTACGAAGGAGATTACGATAAATTAGCAAGGCACATGTAGCCATAATCGCAGCTGGAAGAATGGCAGCAGCGACAGTTGTGAAGATGCTATGATAGAGTGCTCCAGTACTACTGTAGATAATGCCACAAGTATTTCCTCGTAGATTATAGAGTATTAGAGAATGCATGGGCAATACGGTCCAAACAGCAACGATCACAATAACTGCACGACGTGCTATGGATACTTGTGCCAGATTTCGCAGATTTACATTGACAGCTGTAAGTGCAAATCGATCAAAACAGGCGACAGTCAAACACCAACGATAGGTTAGAGCAGATGCTTGAAGTACATAAATACGCATTTTACAGAAAACTGGCATTGATGTGACTGGATCAGCATGATCGAGTGCGTATAGGTATAAACCACTAACCCAGCTCAATAAGATTAGTATTGCTACTGACATGACCAACAAATCTAAATCAAAAAGACATACAGGTTTTCAACAATCAATGACCAGGAAATAAAAGTCTAACACATTTCTTTGTCATTCTTTTTTTTTCTTAAATAAATACAGCAACTTACAGATGCAACAGGATGAAGTACGAAACTGCTTTCTAGATAATAGTAAAATGTTCAGACAAGAACCAATAATACCAAAGATTAGAAATATTGAGTAAACATAACGTGTTATTTGTTGTTGAATAAAAAATAATTGATCCTTCAATGATGTGACTGTCGATGCCATTGATCAAAGTACACTTCTAACAAATAGAATCTTGAGTAATATCGATCGAAGATTGTAGATTTTCTCAGTTCAAGTAGAGAATGGAATGCAGTACAAAGAACAGATTTACATGGGAATAAGCGAAGACGAGTGTCTTTTAATGAAATGCAACAGAAAGCAGAAAGCAGAAAGGATTAATTTTTCTTCGGATATATAATGTTGAAGTATTAAGAACTTTTCATTTAACTAAAATCTGATTAATTCAAAATACCAATGTAGAATCTGTCAGAAAGATGAAAAAAGTGACAAGAGGATGATCTTCAATGAATGATTAAATTTGATAAGAATCTATATATGGATAAGAAGATAATGATGTACGAACTACATCTAATTAGTTGATTTAAGGAATTAAGGGATTTGTTTGAGAAAAACGATGATCCTAGTCCGATTAACTAATATCTTGTAACTCTTGATATAACGAAAATCAATATTTAGATTCTTTTTTAGAGAAAGTTATGCAAAAATTATTCATTAAAATCGAAATTTTGTTTATTCAGTAATATGTTAACTTCTGAGGTGATAAAAACATATAAACAATCATAAAAATAAAGATTTCGTTTTGAGTTTTACAAGATTTCTATGTGACAACCATATAGATGCTTTGGAAACAAGAATCAATTATAGTACTTTTTTGTAACTTTTATTTATACGTGTATTTTTTTCTCGTCATTTTCCCTGTTTCTTTCTTTTTCATTGGCGATCTCATATTTTCGAACATGCATTTATATTAGAAAAATCGTTCTGTTCGAATCCAAATAATCGTAGCTGACATGTTTTTCTTATCTTCTGCCGATTATTTATCGTTCTCTTCTTTGCATTACCAATGATATTCGGTACTTTGTAATCCAAGAAGATGCTTACGAGAATCTTTTGACAACTTCCTCTCTCAAAGTTCGAAGGATTATGTTATTACTGATATATAGTTATCTCGAATGAAACTAAGCCATTTCTTTAAATAGACCTCGTTGAGAGATGAAAGAGCCAATGCAGATACAGAATTACAAAAATGTCCAGCGGATATTCTCCAATTTTCTTTGAAAAGATTTCCCTTTAGTAATTCACTAATAGACGCAAAAGAACTCTTCCCATCATTAATTGTCTTTAATTTGCTTTGCCATTCTTCTAGAGAAACACTTTTTAATGGAATTCCACAACGATATATACCAACAATAATATCTTCAAATAACACTACAGTCTGCGGATTGAAAACGTGATAGATGTTTCTCTTCGTAACAGATTGATTCACAGTCAAATAAACGATACTTTTTGCAGTAAAATCAACTAGTAACGCATGTGAACGAGTATGAACCATGGTCTCCGGGTAACTTTAGTTTCATCATAGCAATAAATAAAAACGTATGAAGATCACTTCGATTACAAGCACCTGTTTCCGTACTAGCGCATATCGATCCGAGACGATAAATCCTCACCGGTAAGCCTAAACGGTTGGCTTTACTCATCAGTTGTTCTGCTACCAATTTGCTTTGTGCATAACCACTAATCAAACTATCTGGAGCAATTTCTTCAATCGATACTTCTTTGTTAACATTCGATGATAGAACACTTAACGTTGAAATATAATGAATGGGTATACAAGCAATTGTATGTGTTGCCAAACGAATAATTTCTTGCGTACCAAACACATTTGAACGATACAGTTTACTGTAGGGAAGTAGAAAATTGACAGCAGCACCACAGTGTAAGATAATATCGATTTGTTGAGCACAAAAATGATAGATTTCATGATCTAATCCAAAACATGTTTCTTCCAAATCACCTTTCAACGGAATAATTCGTTCTTGAAAATCTTCTTTCCAGATCTTATAAAAGAGAAGATTTTCTCGAATACGATCTAAAGGATTCATTGAAGGCTGATATCGTACCAGACAAACAAATTTACATTCACGAGAATAAACAGATAATAATTCGGCTAATAAAAATGCACCGGCAAATCCTGTTGTGCCAGTAATGAAAATCAGTGTAGGAGATGTGCTGCTATTTTTCCTTTGATCTACAGTTATATCTAACTGTAACTCCGAGTCAGATAATAATGTCTCTATAGTTGGATGTTGGATAGTAATATCTGGTTGTAAAAGTATACTTATTGGTACAGAAATTCCTAGATCATGCTCAATCATATGAGATAAACATACGGCTGTCAATGAATCTCCGTCCGTAGAAATAAAGAAATGTTCGTCTTTTTTATTCAATAGTGCTTGTTTTGTTGTCGTTTCGATAATAGTTTTTAATCGTTGTTCAATAGCACTCGATGATTTCAATCGATCACCATAATATGCGGCTAATTTATGACGACAAGGTTTCATTGTTGATGTCAATAAGCCATTTTCTGGTGTAAAAGGTTCAAAACCAATAATTAATCGTGATGGTATTTCATGTTGGCGAAGTGATTCTTTTTTCGCTATTGAACAAAGATTTTGTAAGATGGCATCATAAAATTGTGGATGAGGATTGTTAAAATCAAAAGTTTACCAATGATGTTCAGAGGCAAATGCTTGTGCATATCCTCGATTTGGTACAACGACAGCAACAATCGAATCGGCAAAGATATCTCCATGAATATAGATTTGTTCAATGAAAGGACTTTGAAGATAAATTGTTTTAAGGAATTCAAGTGAGATATATTGTCCACTTGAAAGAATTCTTCTTTCGATTGATCACATTGACATAAAACTCTCCGCTGGCAAGAGTGCGTAATTCAACAATGTCACCCGTACGAAAGAATCCATCGTCAATAAAGGCTGCTTGAGGTGCTCATATTGAAACTTGCTCCAGGTGCCGAATAGGTGTCGAAGGTGCAGGATCTGCACTTTCCCCCTTGAATAAAATGCTAATTCTATCTATGATTTAGGTTTATTTCGATTGATTTTTCAATAGATGTCAATATTCATTCTAATTAATTTTTATATTCCTTAATTTTGAATCATTTCTGATAATTTCTATTCATTGATGATGAATAGATATTTATTTCTATACGCTTATAGAAATAAAAATAAATACGATAAATCAGTAGAAATGAAATAAATCAAAATATTTTTTTTTATTATTTCTTATCATTAATAAATAAATAAAAATAAAAAAAATCTTTTCTTATTATTAATCAATACTATATCACATTTATTTTATTGATAAATATTTTATATTCGATTCATTTTATCAATCGATAGTTATTCATATTCAACATATATATATATATATATATCGTTTTCATTCAATTTTTATTTTATTTCTTTAAGTCATATTAAATACTGAAGATTTATTATTAATCATATTTTATGATGATATTTATATAAAATCTTAAAATATAATATTTACTTTTGAATTTTTTCAATTAAACTAAATCTCTCTTCTGTTTATTTATTCAGATATTGCTTTTGTGTTATTTATTGCAGTTGACTTTAAATAATCATTAAGATGATACTAGAATTGCTGATATTCTCAAATATGTGTTTCCAAATGAATATTTCCTAGATAAACGATCAAAAACAAATTTATTTCCATATTCGAATTGATACATACATTTAATACTTACCCTATTTCATATATTATATATTTATTAATCGATACGACTTTGAATTGAGTTGAAAAGAAAAGTAAATACCAAAATTTATGCCTCTATTAATATTTATAACCAAGCGTCAATAGTTATTGGGAGAATTTAGACCATCAATTTTATTCCATAGATGTATCAACAAACGTTGTTTGATCATATTACATCCATTTAATTTTCGTCTTTCTCTTTATCTATTTTGGTCATCTTCCTATTAATTTCCTATGGATGATATTCTCATTGATTGATGTTAATTAATAGAAAGAAATAGTCGATAAATAACTTATATTATTTATATTCAAATATGAACCATTCGTCGATATTGTCTTATATAATATCATTGAATAAATAGTATGCGTTTTATATGGCTAAACGCCGTTTTAAATAAGAAACAGTGACAGCCTGTCTAAATAGAAAAACAAACAAAAAAAGAATAAAACACAATGTAAAATAGTTAATATTGTTTTTTGAAACTACGCCATGTTCCACTTGGCGTATATGTAACACCTTTTCCGAACAATTGTACTGTTTGCATTCCATTATTCAAAAACTTCTTTTGCCAATTTTCATCTGTATTAATCATAAATCCTTCACATTGATCATCGGAATTACAAAGTGCGATACCATCAACCATTGGTAAAATGCATTTAAAATCCTTATTTTCGAATTTATTTAGATGATTGTAACATGAATATGATGAAGTACTCTCGACAGCATTTGAATTACTAACAAACATATAATTAAAATTTTGTGATTTTTCGCATGTCTCTTGATTACTATTAATAAGTAAAATATATATACATAAGATCAATTACAAATATATATATTGATATTAAGTTTACTGACTTATTTCCACATGTTGTTATTCCATATGTTACAGGAGTATCACGAATAACATTTTGTTTTTCATAACTGCTCCATTCTGATAATAAACAAGAAATTGGTTTTTGACCAGATTTAGCCAAATGAACGGCAACTTGTCCATTTTTATCGTATTTTTTATGAAACCATTCAGCTGTTGTCATTGTATATCCACCACAATTTGGATCAGTATCACAATGAGCAAGAGCATCAGGAAATAACATAATACACCATTCTGAACCACCCATATTTGACTTATGATTGGTACATTTGTATGTGGAACAATTATGGCATTGGCCATCTGGAAGACGAAGATAATTAAGATATTTTCCATTTCTATTTATAAAAATATTCTGTTTTATAAAAAAAAAAAAATCTTTCAATATATTATGTATTTAACCTTTTAACATGATCATCTTTATCGTCTGTCATCATTGAAATATTTCTCGTTTCATCGACACTTGTTGTTGCCCAACAACATAAAATTGCCACAAGAACAATTGATACAAGTAATAAATTGCACTTTGAAATCATTTTGCTATGTAACCAAATGAATACGTACAAATAACTAACCGCAGAATGTTGTGTTGATGATGAGGAAAGAAAGAAAGAATAAAATATCTAGTGAATGACAACTTATGATAAGACAACCCTGTTATTTATAGTGCGACGGCAGAGAGAATAAAGGCAGACATTATCGATGAAAAAGAAAAAATGAGTTACTCGTATATACAAACAGAATATATTAGAGAAAAAGTACCGACCAATATCCATATATGTCTCTTATCGTCGATGCTTTTTGTGACCTCAAACTATTTCAGCCAATGAGTTTTACTCTCGTTTGCGTGTTCGATATCCGACTAGAAGAAATAATGTCTGATGTGTATAGATAAACCGCTAACGAACAACTTCTCTTCTTTATTTTCTCTACCAATACTTTTTTTTTTCCTTTTTTCTTTGCATATATAAGAAAAAAGAAAAAGAATTGTTGTTCTTAGCAATATTTTAGCGTATATTCCGTGCTATTTCTGCTGTCTTGTGCTGAAAGATGGCCTAAGAATATAGATTATAACATATAAACCATAATTATGCATGAGTGACGCATTTAACATGTTTTTTTTCAAGGATTTACTATCTAAACATCAATAAAAGCAACTTATCATCTTGACAAATACAATTCCACATTTATTTTTCATTTTTTTTATAAATAATTCAATGTATCAACTACCATCTTCATTATTATCAGATGATATAAGAGCTCACGACGATGCATAGGAAATTTGTGTTTCATCCTATACGACGATGTTTGTTTTATCTATCAGATGAAAACAATTCTTTGAGATATATATTAAAATAATCAGTGAAATAGAAAGTTCTACTGATCATATCTATATAAAATATAATTGTTAAATATTTCTTATATGCTAAATATTAAAATCTAAATAAACGAACGAACATAATAACAA